CAAGATGCCCTGGGCGCTGGGTACCAAGGGCCACCAACAGTGCCAAGTACACGATGGATTACCAATGCTGCCTGACAGGTCAGAGGGAGACCGGGCGCCCGATTCAGACAGGACGCCGCCGCGCGGCGCGCCGGAACGAGGGGGTGACCTGACTGACTATATACAGGAAAACACCACTGGTAGATTCACAAAGGATCAAGGAGTGGGTCAGCTGACTGGAGGCGCAGCGAGCTTTTTACTTAACAGCGAAGACTGATAGGTTTCTAGTGGGGTCAAAAGAGAGCATCATGACTCCTCAGGGGGGTCGGGGCGGGGCCCGGGGCGGGACCCGGCGCGGCTGCCGTCGAAGCCCAAATCGCTTGGGACATCCTCGCGAAATCGCTCTTGGCGTTGCTAGAGCTCCATTCCCGGCGTGCATTTTGGATGCCCGGAGCCAATTGTAGGCCACTTCGTGCTCTTCGACTTCCCAGAACTCCATTCCCGGCGTGCATTTTGGATGCAACTGTAGGCCACTTCGTGGTCTTCGAGTTTCCAGAACTCCATTCCCGGGCCACATTTTGGATGCCCGGAGCCAACTGTAGGCCACCTCGTGCTCTTCAAGTTCCCAGAACTCCATTCCTGGGCCACATTTTGAATGCTGAGGCAGGCTGATGCTGCGGCCGAGGCAGGCTGAGGCTGAGGCCGAGGCTGAAGGCAGACTGGGGCTGAGGCTGAAGCAGACTGAAGCTGAGGCTGAGGCAGGCTGAGGCTGAGGCTGAGGCAGGCTGATGCTGAGGCAGGCTGAGGCTGAGGCTGAGGCTGATGCAGGCTGAGGCTGAGGCAGGCTGAGGCTGAGGCCGAGGCTGAAGGCAGACTGAGGCTGAGGCTGAAGCAGGCTGAGTCTGAGGCTGAGGCAGGCTGAGGCTGAGGCAGGCTGAGGCTGAGACTGAGGCAGGCTGAGGCAGAGGCTGTGATTGCGACTGCCGTTGCCACTGCGACTGTCATCGCGAATGCGACTACGACTGTGAGAACAGCAGAATTCTACAACTGGATTCTCATCTGAATATGAAGGGGAATGCTTCCAGATATGCTCCTACACATCGCTGTTAGGTTGCTTTGCCGGGATATTTTAGATTTTATAGAGTCCTTGACTGGGCAAAGCGCCGAATGGGACATCTGGCGCGCGTTGCGATGGAGATGGCGCCGACCTGGTTGCGCGACTTGGCGCGCGGTCCTGGCCGAGCAGCATGGGGCGCGTCGCGAGGACTTCGAGAGGTCGCGAAGGGCGCGCGCGAGCGGCTGCCTCATGGGACCCGACCTACCTGGATGTGGACGGGGCGGCGAGCAAAGACAGGCGACGGACCGTGCGATGCGACCCCGTCGACGAGGCAGGAGGGCAGCTGCAAGGAGTCTGAGGGCATTGAGACATGCGCTGTGCGTCAAGGACCTGCACCTGACGGGCGCGCTGTGCTGGGCGCCGTATGCCTGCGAGGGCGTGGAGGTTCAATAGCTCTCGACAGCTATGCCGAAGACGGCAGAATGACTGCCCGGATGAGAGGATCAGCGATGAGGTTTAGAGGCATGATCGACAGCGCTCCCACCGTGGCAGGAGGGGGGCGAGAGGTGTCAGCGGGGATAGTTGGTGCATCTGTCAGCCTGCGTTCCCAGAGGCCACCGAAGTCAATAACTCTAATCTTGATGAGCATAACCCAGCTGGACGAGCTGGGCGCGGCGCTGCGCATCCAGAATCAAGGACAGGAAGGCGGACCTCAGGGTCATCGACCAGTACCAGGTGCCTCTCGAGAAGACCGCGAAGGATCGCTTGAGCATCTCGCCGAGGGACTGGCCAGGGAAGACTTCGACCGGGCCAGCACCGTCAGTGACGACCGAGGGATTGACATCTGGAGCGCCGAAGTTCAAGTGGTCGATCGAGGCGTCCTACGACAAGGGCAGCGGAGGCAGATCTAGATATGGAACGAGGAGATCCAGGACACGCCGGGCCAGCGCCAGCAGATCGGTCCGCGGATTCGGCCGGTGTAAAGCGCCTTCCTGAATCCCCGATTGGCGCGCGCCCCCTGGGGTGGGGGGTGGGGGGAAGGCCGAGGCAGGTCTGCGCCTCTTCCTTCTTCCTCTCTCCCTCCTCCTCCTTTCCTCTCCCCCCCTCTTCGCTCTTCTCCTCCCTCGATCGCAGTTCTCGCCGCGGCCCGCGCCCCCGTTGCGGTCTTCGGCCCCCTGGGTGTGCGAGTGGGCGGGCGAGGGCACTTGGCGCGCCCCCCCCCCCCCCCCCCCCCCCCCTCGTTCGCAGTATCCCTGTAGTCCCGCAGGAGAGGCATGGTTGCTTGTAGTGCCGCAGTATCCCTGTAGTGCCGCGGTATCCCTGTAGTGCCGCGTTGTTTGAGTTCTCTTGATTGCGCTCGGGCCGACCATCTTCTGAGCCATCAGGCTTGTGGGGTGCGGGGGTGCGTGCCCTTTCCGGGGTCTTTGCGCCGCGGAGGCGGTTGGGTCTCTGGCTCTTGCCTCCGTGGGAGCGTTGTCTTGGTTGTCAGTGTCAGCCAGGACTGTCTGGCTGGAGCGTCAGTATCAGTTGGAGATCCGGGGGGCAGACGGGCGACTCGTCTGGTCGGCGCGCGTCTGTGTCTGCGCCGTGCGCGGCGGGTGCCGCGGCTCGTGTTCACATGGTGGTTTATTGTTTTCTCCGTGTGCACTTCGGCGCCAGTCATGGACATTGGCGCCCGGTCCATGAGCGGATCCAGTACAGGAGGCGTCTCGCGTCGCACGGTGCCGCGCCATCCGCGGTCTCCGGGTGGCCGTTGATGCGCCAAGCGGCGATCCCACGAAATTCCACCGCGGGCGGTCTACTACGGCCCTGTCGCCTTGAGCGGCAGGAAAGCCGCCCCCGAGCCCTGGCGGCCGGGGCAAGTGTGTGGTTTCGGCTCATGTCCCTGCTTGACAACCATGCGTGCTTCTGTTTTGGTGTCCCTGTGCCGCGCGAGGTTACTCGGTGGCCTCTGTGCGCTGCTGGCGCGCGAACGTCGTGAATTGTGCGCTTCGGTGGTGGTTGTGGGGCCGGTTTTTGTGTTTCGGGGCCGAGATGTTTGAGGCTGTGGCGCGTATGCGCCCAGGTTGATCATCACCCTCCCACGAGGCCACAGGTCGCGCTGGGCCCCCCCCCCGAATGCGCTGCCGTCGTTCGCGGCGCGCGCGCAGGAGACGGGTGCGGAGGCGGAGGCAGGGCTGCGCGAAGACGCCGGGGATGACGAGATATCGACCTGGCCGGCGGGGGTGCGCAACTACACGGATGAGTGTTTCACGACGATGAGGGCGAAGTTCAGGACGGATATGAAGATGTAGACGCATTCAACATGGGCGACGCGATATGCATCTACCCGATGGAGAGGAGTGGCTCGCAGAGGACTATCCAGATACTCAGTCTGTTGCAGTTTTGTCTTGCGGTTTACACTGAGGCAGCCGAAGCAGGACAGCGACCATGACCTTGACATGTAAGTGCCAAGGGAGGTGGACAGTTCAAGCAGCGACAACATGTTCTAAAAGGAATGTTTTCTTTCCCCCAAGCTCGAAAATACCAAGAAGCTGACGAAACGCGAGAATCTGGAGATCGTGAGGTATGATGGTGAGTTTACGCAGGGGTCCGACCTACCTGGGCGACGCTGCACTTCTGAAGCAGTGGGCGGTCACAATGGGGACTGTTCGCATCAAAAATGCGGGGCACGAGGGTAAGACTTTGTAGGGTATCAGCTACAAGGGCAAGCATTATGCGAACTGTCTGGGAATATGTCTGAAGTTGGACGCCGACGAGTGCCGCGGCTTCAGCCTAATTCTGCCCGGCGATCAAGGCGTACGTGGCATATCGTATGATCAAGGCAGCCGCGCAGGAAGGTTGATATCCGCTACCAAGACGTGATGGATGAGAACGGTGTGGCGAAAAACGGGGGCTGCATGTGACACACTCATATACATATTTCATTATCTTGATATTTGTTGCTCGGTGTCCCGAGCCTGTGGGCATAATTTATTTCAACAGTGTGCTAGTTGTGGTTGCTGTCGAAATGCTACGAATTCTTTGTCAACGCTTCAGGCCAGCGTGAAATGCAGATTCTTATTCAGATGGGTATACGATATATTTAATATGATAATGATATTATGCTGTTGCTCCCTCCCTCTCGTGTCCAGTGTTTCCTCTCGCCATTCGGGTCGCAGCTCATCGGGGCGGGGGGCGCGCCAACTCTCGACACAGCCTGCGTAGAGTAGAAAGGATATCCGATTTTGATGTGCTTCTCTTGCATCAAGAATCGTGGGTTGGATATTGTGACTACCCGTTGCAGCATGTGGCCAGTGAGGCCCCTCCCCCCAGGACCCCACCCCCGAGAGGAAGGGACCAAAAGGGGTGGGGTCCCATCGAGCGAATTGGACGTTGCTGAATTTCGCTCTGGCTGGCGCGATGGGCGGGGGGGGCCCAAGAAAACAGGGAGAGCGGCAGTGGGCCCAGGGAAATGGGGGCCAGGGGGAAGGGAGCCAGCAGAGACGACGACTAGAGAACGACGAAGATGACGACTCGAACGGAACAAACCCTCACACATGCCGCCAGGGTCGGCGGATTTGAGGCCATCTTACTCGTCTTGAAGCACCTCAGGAGCAGATGACCTTTGTGGCCCACTTGGCCGTGCCCCCCCCCCCCCCCCTTTCATCCCAAATCACCAGGCCTGGCCCACCAGGAGGGATTCAACCTCACACGCCGCGGAACCCCAAGGGATCGGCGACGAATGGCAGGTTTTTAGTGTGGACCTTGCCGGGGGCCTCGTGGACGTCATTGTGGCCTTTTCGCACTTTGGAGGAATCAGTCATTTGGAAAACCCAGAATGCCGATCACATCCAGCCAGGCGATAACTAAGTGTGAACCGCAAGAATCCGTGACGAACCCCGAATCAGTCTGGGCCAGGTACGAGTTCTGAGGTTGTCAGACGAGTAGGTGCTGAACAGGAGTGACGAGTCGGGCAGTGGAGGTCGATGACGTCGGAGATTCTCCCTTGCTCATCTTCGCCAACAAGCAGGACCTGCCCTGCTCAATGACATCGGCGGAGGTAACTGATGCGCTCGGGCTCAAGACCTTGAACAGGCAGACGGGGTGGGGCAGCCGAATCGACATTGGTGGGACTCCACCTCGTCCTCGTCGCCTTCCACCCCTTTTTTTCTGGAAGTGCGCGTGCATGTCCAAACGCCCCAGGAAGGTGACACCGTCATCCACCGCGCGCTTTCTCGGGCACCGCTTGCGCTCGAATTTATATATTTCTGAGGCGGTCCGCTACGCAAGCATGCAGTACGAGGATGCAGAGGCATATTCCAACACATGGGTCACATCGACATACGCACACGTTAAAAGCGCAGAGGTGAAATGTTGAATCACATGTTTGGCAACCTTGCGGACGTGTCCAGCTTCTTGTGCTTTAAGTGGGGTGGAGCGGGGTGTCGGAGTTTTCTCTCTTCATTTCCTTTTTTCCTCCGCCTCCCCTTCTCTCCCCCCGTCCCACCCCCCCTCGAAAGCAGCAGGCGAGATATAATGAAGTATGATAAGCAGTGCTAAGCGATGCCGAATAGCGGTAAGGGGTGGTGAGCGCAGTACGATAGCGGGAGGGGTTCGCAGGCAGAGCAGAGGCCAGTATTTGCGAAACCATGGTGGGCAGCAGACGCGCGATGGAGTGAGCGAGAGTGCCCCGCCTGAGGGCGCCCGTGAGGACTTTTGGAGAGGCGTCGGTGGGGAGGACCGGCAGGGAGGGCGCCAGTGGCGAGAGGGCGCCGGCGCGAAGGCAGTGGCGCGTCCAGCCGGCGAGCGCCAAGCTGGGCACCGGCCTCCACGACGGAGCGGGCCTCGGGGCCGCCGGGCTGCCTGTGGGCGCCGATCTGCCGCTCGGCTCAGAGTGCCTGCGGGGGGAGCACCCCCCCGTGGCGCCCACAAACGGTCGACGTCGAGCGATCCGCGCCGTCGGGACGCCGCGGTCGCGCAGGGTGGAGCGATCCGCGCGGTGCCAGAGGCCAACGCCGAGGTCGCGACGACACGCACCTGCCGTCGAATGGTGCACGGGCTCCTTCCCCCCTTCCGTGAGCCCCTCCCGCATCTCCTCGAAGGAAGCTGCAGTAGCGCACAAACATAGACATTCGGAGATCCGCGCGGATTTCTCGGATCGGCACTGGACTCCCCTGGCGGCGCCGCCCCTGGCGCGCTCCGCGCGCCAGGGACGGGGGTTCAGCGCCGATCCAAGAAATTCGTGCGGACCTCCGAAATCTTATGTGAATGCAGTTGCTTCTTCTTCTTCCATCCCGCTTCCCTTCCCCCCCTCCTCCTTGTACCCCCTTCCCTTCTCCCCTCTCACGGAGTGAGGGGTTCGGGGGGCAGCGCGCCCAACAGGCAACCAGACATGACGCTCAGCTGGCAGCCTCGACAAGGGCCACAGATAGTGCCCCAAGGGAGCGGAGCCATCAGAAGATACTGGGTAGCAATATCAAACATTGGGCTAACCAGGTTAACCATCAGGTCGGATTTGGTATGCAGGGAGTAGTCGAAGCTCATGACAGGCTTCACGCATCTCCGACATGCGATCAGGCGCGACGCAGGGCGGCAGACGATAGTGAGGTAGGAAGAACAAGCAGAGATGCCAACTAAATGATTGCCAAAACGTTGAAGAACATTTGACATTGCATTGATGCTTCATTCCGCACCAGCAGTGGCTGCGGGAGGAATCAGTCGTGGCGGCGAGAGGAATTAGAAGTCTATAAGAGGGATCTTGTGGAGAGGACGGGACAAGGGAGGATATCGATAAACATGGAAATAATGACGATGATGATGATGATGATGATGATGATGATACTGACGATGCTGATCATGACGATGATGATGCTGATGATGCTGGTGATGATGATGATGAATATGGTGGTGATGACGATCACGATTACAATGACGGTAACTAAAACAATGACGATGAAAATCAAAAACAATTGTCATCGCAATCTGAGGAACATGATGATGTTGAAGGCGATGGCAATGACGATGACGATGTTGATGATGATGTTGTTGTTGATACATCTGATCATGATGGTGATGAGTATGTTGATGATTATGTTGACGATGACGATGATGCTGATGATGATCATGATGTGCTGTTGACGATGGTGATGACGATGGTGATTTTGGATTCCGATGATTACCACGATGACGAGGACGAGGACGATGACGATGACCATGCCCATGACGATGATGATGATGATGACGATGATGGTGGTGGTGGTGATGATGGTGATGATGATGATGATGCTGGTGATGATCATGATGATGTTGATGATGATGCTGATGCTGATGACGACAATACTGGTGGTGGTAGTGGTGATGATGCTGGTGATGACGATGATGATGCTGATAATAATGATACTCACGACAGTGATGCTAATGATGCTGAGTATCATTATGGCGGCGGTGGTGGTGGTGATGATGATATGATGATGCTGATGATCATGATGATGACGATGATGATGATGATGATGATGATGATGACGATGATGATGATGACGATGATGATGATGATGATGATGATGATGATTTGGATGACGATGATGACGATGATGGCGATGATGACGATGACGATTACGATGAGGGTAACGAGGATGAAGACGATGATGAACAATAAAAAGACTTCTGATATTGGTAATCTGAGGGAGCTGATGATGCTTTAGGCGATGTTGATGCCGATAACGACGTTGTTGATCATGTTGCTGTTGCATATGATGATGGTGATGATGT